ATGCAGTCACTCTGATCCCTTCTAGCGACCATAATCCTTATCGTAAAAACAATAGAATGTTTTGATGTGACGTCATAATGAACTAGGGCAATTGACGGACACTCTCCAACTTTTCAGACTTTTGCTTTTCAATGTGGGATATATAATTATTCAAACTGTGCTCTTTTTGTAAAAAAAATGCGCATGCTCATTAAAGCTGGATTCTAATTTTATTATTATGTTAATTTACTTTATTGTTGGAGTTTTATGTAAACATATCAATAAATGCTTCTTATATTTTCCTTCCTTCCCTTTTTTCTTTTCTCGATATATATTAGTTTATCACTGACCTATTTAGAAACAATATTCAATGTTTCTTAATTATCGATTATTATTGATCAGTAATAAATATTTTTGAGCTTTGGCCTCTATTAAAATAGGACACAACTCGAGAGGAAGCCTGGTGTGAACTAGAGAAAATATTTCTTGTCCGAGATGCTACGGACCGAAATATCTTGAGATATTCTCTCCTGAAAGAATTATTCATGGCACCATATATAATAGGGTTGATTGCACTGCTACACGCGATGCTGATTGGTAGAATGATAGTCACGTGATGCGGCAGGGCCTTGTTATAGCTGCTGGCTAAACCCATGATAAGTACTGTAAGCCATATTACTAGGTAACCTAGCAATACTGCGAACAATGTCCACGTGACCTTGATGTCTTGAGCTCCAAAAGAGGCTTGATTGTTCCTTGCCTGTTCGACGTTTCTTTTATGGTGTCGGATTTTCTTTAGGATTTTAAAGTAGCAGTAGAGCATAATAACATAAGGAACAGCTATTGAAGCAGCATTCAGAACATTGCCAAATATCTTAGTCGCCGTAGTCTTTGTTCTTCGGGAAATAAGACACATTGCGCTTTGCGGAAAGAACTTGGCGTAGTAAAGACTTCCTTTTACGAGCAAAATCGAGACGATTAAACACGCAATCCACACGCATATACTCATCCAAATCGTCTTCTTCTTGGTGAATTTGTGCTTGTATTGATCTGTTTTACACACACAAACAAATCTATTGTATGCCATTAGAGCTATGGTGTACCCTGATGTATTGGTTAAAGTGAGAAACCAAATTGCCTGAAAGTCACAGACTTCTTGACTGAGCTTAAAGTTATTCGTCTTTATGTCTATCAGCCAGTACACTGATAGAGGCAGAATTGTAAGAGGGTAGAGGAGATCGGTAATTGCTAAGGAGAATGCAAGGTAGTTGGTGCTGTTACGCAAAGAACGGTTACGATACACCGAGATGATCACCAATAGATTCCCAGCAATGGATGTCATTCCAATCAAGACAAAGGCACACGTCTCTATGGCGATATTCGTTGTGCTTCGGCTCAAGAAGGAAATCCATTTGGGCGAAAGTATGGTTGTACGATTCATCTAGAAAAAAAAAAGAAAAAATTCTTAATGAAAACAACGCCCTTGTCATCAAGAACTTTAAAAAATGCGTGAACGAAGACTGAATTCCTTGAATCGGATTTTAGACGCGGAAAAAAAAACAACTCTTTAACAGGACAAAGTACTTTCTCTTAAACTCATCGCATAATTGAAATGCATTTCGATCGTAAGATAAAAGCACTCGTAGAAGGTCAAACGTACTCACTTAGAATAATAAAAGATAAGTAATTACATTGTTGTTCTATTTTTGCCATACAGCTGTCTAAATTTTATCCAACGATATATGTAGTAAAGAACTTGTCGTATCTCAATAGCTTCCTTCTATACACCCTTTTAATAAGTCTCAAGGTATTGTGTTCTCCGCACTTGACGTCAAATTTATTCTTTTGAATTCCTTTTGTATTGTAAAAATTTCAAAAGAATAAATTTGACGTCAAGTGCGGAGAAAACAATACCTCGGGACTTATTAAAAGGGTATATAGGCCAAAGATCGACCGCGTTCTATTTCAATGTCATTCTTTTTCTTTGTTATGATTTTAGCATTTTGCGTACTATTAGAAACACTGAAGTTCGAGGAATGACTGCTGAATCCTACAAAACGAAATTAAGCGCAGAGCAACCTGAAAATATTATGAGAAAAAAACAACAAGAAATCGGAATCATAAATAAACAGAAAAACTATAATTTCTATTTTGCTCTGAGATTTTGTGTCGTCTCAGTTGCATTCATTATTTCAACCTCGTTCCCTCTGTACTCTCTCTTTGTGGCTTGTTGTTGCTGTTTTTTTCTTGTTTATTTCCGTTCAAGATGCTTCTCGTTCTATTTTTTCTTTTTTTCTCATTGGTACACAACTTACATCCTTACCTTAGGTTTGTGGCTTCAGTTTAAAGGCAAAGAAAAGTTGTCACTTCATCGCGGCAGCACATTCAGTAGGATTCCTCAGAAAAAGGCAGCTTCTTTAAACACTGAATTCCAAGAAGCTAAAAATGTTGTGCTCACCAGTATTGTTATGGTTCTGTTTCTCGAAACCCAGAAGAGCATATGTAAGTGTCTTTTAACTTGAGTTCCCCTTTTTTAATACGGAGTCTTAAAGCTTTTGTTACTTATAGAAGCCCACTCTCAGCCTTACGTAAGTACACTTGTTAGTTTGTCAATGAAAGTAAGTAAACGTCCGATACTGAAATATATGGGACTTGATGAATGTGGAGGGTGCCTAAGTGATTATTGAAACAAAAGAACCCAAAACTTAAAAAAAAAGTTTTACGGGAAGTCGCGTCACGTAATCTGCAAGTGCAACCCAGTTGAGATATGCATGTTCTGAGTATCTTCAGGTACAATATTGATTTACCATTTCACAGTTATTTACGGATATTCAGAAGAATACTAAAGGAAATAACCAAAGCTGTCGTCATAATGTCGTCATAGTATATCGTCATTGATGATGTCATTGACAAAGTTTGTTGTTGGCTAATCAATTGTGTTAGTCAAACCCTTCCACCGATAAACCTTATCGCGGTTAAAACCAAAGCAGGCAACACGTTTGCTGCAGCCCTCAAATGAACAATAGTGCTAATTCATATAAAATTATGACTTTTTGCCAACAAAATTTTTTTTCCTGACCGTTGCTAAAAGAACAAGCTCAAAAGGGACAATGTTTAGGTTGTTGCTTTATTCTGCGTCGCTTTGGAGCAAAACCACAAGCCCCTCCGCGCAATTTGTTTTCCAAATGTGCATCCAAGAAACCTTTGCAATCGGTTCTCTTGTTTTTCAAAATAATTTGTTGTTACAAGATGCTCTGTGCTTGATTTAAAATCAAAGAAGGTGAAATTTAGTACGTGAGTATATGACACAAAGGTTTTTGGATGCGCGTTGTGAACTAAAAATCTCATCTAAAAGCTTTACCATCTTTCATTCATCGTCTCTTCTTGTCATCTTATATTTTGAAAACTAAAGTAACCAATGACGGAAAGATGCTCAACTGTTAGATTTATTTTCACTTGGATTATTAATTGAGAAGTAATGGCCTCACGTTCTGTTCGTGAAAATCACTTATTTTCTAGTTCTTTTCTCTGAGCCTAACAGGGAGAGCACCAAATGTACTACAATTCCGTGTGCTTCAAATCCACGTACAGTACAGTACTTCTCAGGGGAAGCCGACGGGGTCTGCTCTTTTAAATAACTCAGTGTTCTTGTATGAATGTTTTCCTGGGAAGGGGTTTCGTGAGCTACATTGTTGACAATCTAACAAGCAAATGTGGCGCCATTCCTTTTTAAAATAATTTTGTTTCTGGCAAAAAAGGATTATATTCTTTTTAGTTAGGAAATTTTTATTTTCCTGMGGCAAAAATTCTTAGAAAGTATTCCCTTGCCTTGGAGAATTCTTTTTTCTTGAATTTCTCACTGGCAACCACTTGCAAATTACAGCTGGCTGAGACACCAGGAATCCTTCTTATTTTCCTGTGAGTCCAAATCAATTGATTGTTTTCGGTGCGTTTCCCATGGCTTTTGATGAAAAAGAATAAATTACATGGCTTTGAGGATAATCAAAAGCCAATGGAGTTGTCTACTAGAACTTCTACAGGCTTTGAAATTTAAATCAAGAGGCGTATTCAAAGTATTTTATCATTTTCCAAATCCGCAACTGAAAGCGTCATTATACTCTCGAGACATACTTTGTTATAAGAGGAACTATTGAGACTATATTGAGTGCGGTAGATACTTGTGCTGTATATACAGAAGTCTTATTGTTCACCACGTCACTTAAGATCATACAGCATAGAAATATTAGTTACAAAAACACACTAACATCTGCGTAATTGTCCTTCCTGCAGCAGACATTGCAAAGAGAGAGCTAAGAAATTCACGTTTGGTTTTGGGAATTTTACAAAAATATACAGAGAAATGTAAGTATATGATGATCGTCATGATAATATGCATTATATATTACATGGGAGCGCGTAGATACGGATTTTATCTTTTAGTGTTGAAACGATCTCTCACGAGTGAGCGTAACGGGATATTAAACAAGTAGCTTGGTTTTGGAGCACACATCGATCGTCGAATACGCCCGGCTCTGTTACAATTAAGTTTTCCAACTTTGAATGTAGTTGTTAAGACAAATTCGAAGCGAATAGAAAATCTTGTAACCCTTGAATAATTTGACAAAAACTTTAATTAGTACCAGGCATTAGGTGAAGCTGATATAAGAATGCTTTCTTGTAGACGATAATATCAAATTTGTTATAAAATACTTATAAATATTTGTTACAAAATACGCAATATCAAGTTGAGATTAGGCCATACGCTACTGCTGGGATGAGTTTACTTTCAAGCTTTCGTCGGTCGCCGACATCATCAGGAGAGTGAAGGAAATTTAATTACTTTGAAACTTGAAATACAATCCAAACACCACATGGATCAATTTCTTTTTTCGTCAATCCCATAGTGCACCTCGCGCCGTCAGACAAGACCATTCACTGTCCATGCTTACACATATGGTTTTAATAAAAGCGTGTCTGCTCCTTGTCTTAGGTTGAACTCAACTAACGAAACGACATTGAAGATGACAAAGTCTTGGACTGTCTTTATAAATCTCAGTCCAGTGGAGATCGCCATAGAGACATGCGTATATGTATTAATCGGTTTGACTGCTGTTTCTGGGAATCTATTGGTGATCATCTCGGTGTATCGTAACCATTCGTTACGTAATACCACCAACTACCTTGCACTGTCCTTAGCAATTACCGACATCCTCTCTCCTCTCACAATTTTGCCTCTATCAGTGTACTGGCTGATAGACATCAAAACACCTCACTTTACCTACGGACAGGCGATTTGCGACTTTCAAGCAATCTGGTTCTTTTCTCTAGTTAATGCATCAGGTTATACCATCACTCTTATGGCTTACAACAGGTTTGTCTGCGTGTGTAAGACAGATAAATACAAACAGATTTTTACCAAAAAAAAGACGATTAATATGATCGCTGGCTTGTGGATGTTGTGTTTTATTATCGCAATTTTACTGGTAAAAGGAGAAATGTCCTACGCTAAATTTAACCCAGCAATTACAATGTGTACGCTTTCACAAAAACGAAAAAGTGATTTGAACAAGATAGCGGGGAATACACTTCTTGTCCTTGACATAGCAGTTCCCTACTCATTTACAGCATATTGTTACGGCAAGATTCTCAAGAAAATCCATCATCATAAGAGAAGTGTTGCGCAAGCTCCGTCCAATATTAACACACTGGGCGCCAAAGAGATCAAAATCACGTGGACATTGTTTGCAGTGTTGCTTGGTTACATAGCGCTGTGGTCACCAGTCGCCGTGACCGCGATTATATTAAGTCATAACAAAGGTCTGCCTCACCTTATCAGCAGTATTATTCCAATGGCAGCCGCAGCAAGTAGTGCGATAAACCCAGTGATTTACGCACTTATGAGCCCTGAGTTCAGAAAAACTTACATCAAAACACTGAAATGTAGATAAACAGAGTTTAATGCTTGCATTTGTCGACAAGCAATTGAACATTATAATGATTCTAAGTACGACAAATTCACCGATCAATGAGGAAGCAAAGTCAAATTCCCGCGAAAATTTCTCACCATTTTACGATAATTGCTTGATATCCGTTCCTGAACATTGTTTAAGAAAAACCTTTTGCAAATACTAGGAAGTAGTTACAAAAATATCAGTAGGCCTTCATTTTGATGTAATTGGGTTAATAGTACTAGCTTTGGATAGCTTTTTTGCTTGAGCACATCCTGTCATGGTTCTGCAATACTTCAATACTTCAATGTTTACATTTGTGGAGTCTTCCTCCAACGACGCGCGTGAACCTTTTACGTCACTACTTTATTCGCAATGCATTGTGGGATCCGTTTCTAAAGAAAACAAAAGATATCCACCATGTTTTGTTTTTTATCTTAAAAGTCTTACCCAACGCCTTTTACCGAAACGCCTTTTATGAAATCTATAAAAGCTCTATAATCTCACTAATTCGCCTTTTCTTCTTGTCATCATATGACAAGTGCATATGACACGAATTTTTTTATTTGAAAAATAGAGTTAATAGTTCAAGAATAAAAGCTTGGCTAATTACCACTTGATACAGGGCTTCAAATTTCAGAGAAAATCGGAGTTAAAAATCCATTATGCTAATTTGATGACATCAWTTTGYGTACTCTATARAATTTYAACTSTGTTTTGTARCAAGTGTTCCAAGTTTACCCATGTCAAACTGTGAAAGATTGTTTTTGATTACATAACAAATATCTTCTACAAAACAATAAGGTGACAATAAACAATCGGGCAATTTTGTATTATCAATGAGTTAACAACTTGATGTCATCAAATTAGCATAAAATCCATTTTTCTCTGAAATTAGAAGCCTGYATCCAGTGGCACTTTACAGAACTATTATTTCCTTCATATTGGTTCTATTTTTAAAATAAAAAAAATTGTGTCATATGCCCTTTAAAATAAAAGTTGGTTAGGTGCACCGTTCAACCCTCTTCAATGAGCTTCAATGATATGACTGAAGAGGAACATCCTTGTGTAAAGCTGCCCAAGCTGAATGATCCTTTTCATTTATTTGTAGGCTATTTTTCCTTTTTCTCTATCTATACATAGTTTGAAAGATCTTACGACGTAATAAACGAACAGTTCCCTTGGACCTGATTATATATGAAGCAGGCTGACCCGACTCAACGGGCTGTTTCATTTTTTCCCCCTGAAGATACAAAATAAAACATTTCGATCAATCGGGGCAGCCCTCTTCATATACACCTATTTCAAAAAACGTTGTCGTCACCAGGACACAGTCTCGAGCTGCAAGAATCTCGGGATATCCATACGTAATTAATACATTCAAATAAATATATTTGCCAATGTGGTTTGAATGGCGGCAAACACTACTAATATACTATTGCGGCCATTAAACCTGTCGAAGAAGTGTCGCCATAAGACATTTTCCTTGAAGAACTAAGTTCCGCGTTTTCAAACCGTCAATGAGCTCCATCTTCTTCTTCTTCTTCTTTTTTTCAAGGCCTGCAGTCCATTCTGTATTTGATTAAAAAGGTCATCTCAAGTCTATATTGTCAGATTATGCCTTAAGGTTTACATCCACTTCTTCGGGCTCCAAGTCTTGGTTGTCGGCGTCGCTGTCCAAATAAAAAGCAGTGCCCAAAATAAACACAGGAAAAAAGCACAGAGTGATGGCCGATAGCCCTAAGAATATTTCGAAAATCTCAGCTAAAAAGTGTAAAGTTTCTTGATCGTTGTCCCTGAATAACAATACTTGAACAAGCAAGAAACCGCACACGGTTCCAGTGACAACAGATATAAAATTCGCTAATCTTTTTGACCGCAGTATGGTAACTGTTGTGTTTGCAGATTGGTCTGTTTCGGGATTTTGATTCGTCTTATGGATAAAATACAAAATGAGAGCCACACGATTTATGATAATAATATTAGGGATAATRAACTGAAATATCATAAAAAACGAGAGATAAGGCACAATATTGAAACGTGGTCCGCCAAAATGATCATTGACGGTTTTGTCATTCGAATGCCTCTCACCCAGAGGGCCCCAAACAGCATGAAGATACAAAACTAGCGACAAAAGTGCTATAGAAATAAGGAATAACAATAGCATCACTAGAAGGATACCAGTAAAGCTGCTTTGTTTCCTGGTAGAAGTCATCTCAGCCAGCATAACGATGACCATACACATCAAAACTAACCAGGCGAGAGAGATACTCGCAATGTTAACAAAACAAATCCACGAACACTTTGTTTCTGGAAAGCATTCAGGGCGGTGAAGTGCTATTTCGGTTGCTGCAGTCGAGATCGTAAGAAGGCATTTGGGCACGATAAGACACTTCAAAGTTGAAGATGATGTGTACGGCTTAAGCTTCTTGAAGTAGAAATACAGAAATACTGGGTACAAAAGCATCGTACACGTGTAGGCAACATCGTCCATTTGGATATACTCCATATTTAAATGAAATAATGAAATGTGTTTGTATACTTTGACGTAAGCTTTCGCTTCAACGTTCGTCAAGGGACACTTGTGGCTCAAGGGACACTTGACCACACTGTTCAGGTTTTTTTCGGTGTCTACGGAAACGTAAGACAGACTACAACAATGTTAAAGAATTACAGCTAATTTTAGTTCAATTAGTATACGGAAACAATAGTTTTTTATAGAATATGACTACTGCACGTGACAATGTACACTAATGAGGCGTCCTCAACAAAAATAGAACGTTAAACCAATGGATTTCACGGCGTGTGGAGAACGAGAGATTGAGAAGAGCTAAAAACTCTTTTATTTTATTCTGCCAGAAGTACATAATCAGAAGTGTCCATCTCGCTAGTAATCTAGTCACCAACAGGTGTCCCAATAATCTATTTTTAGACAACCAACCGTGAATTTTGAATAACTGAAAGTGAATATATAATTATATATGGCAATCCCGAGACTCTTTGCAGGCTCAAGCCTGTGTCCTGGCGACAACAACGGTTTTTGAAATAGGTGTAACTTAATCAGGTCCGGAGAAACGCCTTGAAATTTCCCAAAATCCAAAAGGCTTGCAACTTTGTATCATAATTGCGCATAGTACTTTTCAGATTTAATAAATATGACAGACTTCTTACCTTAGCTTTAATGAAGGATTCCACTCTGGATATCCATGTTCATATGGTAACATGGTAATTAAAAAGGATTTCTCCAGCTTTACATCGATTTTCAATCCATTCATCAACATGAAGGTTATCTCAGGGTCTGAATGGGGGGGTCTCAATGTCGGTAGTCAGTTAAGATTTCAAGCATTTGTCGCTAGTCAGTTAAAATTCTAGGCATTTGTCGGTAGTCGGTTATTTAAAAAAAGTTGATAAACATTAAGTTTAAATGCATCTAAAACGGTGCTTTATACCAACAAAATTCTTTCTAAATGCCAACAATTGAATCCTTGAGTCTTGATTGGTCAATTGGATCCCACTCAAAGTTTNTTTCATTAACCTGTGACTACACTTTATTTCTCTTTATTTTGCACGGTTTTATTGATATTGATTTGATGATACCATTTCTTTCGTGGATTTATGAAAACATTATTAAAAAATCTCGGTGTTCTTTAAAAAAATGAGAATTCTAGTCGCCATTTTGTTTTTCTCCACTCGAAGAATATGTATCCAATCAGAGGAGGTTGCTCATAATCGGGACRGCTTCAGAAATGCAAATTATTGGCTATTTYAATAGCAGCATTTTGGATACCTGATCTCCTGTGTCTGGAATCGATCGGGTTCTACTGCCTTTAGCTATCCTCAGTCTTTTATATCTGACATAGAAGACAAAAAGGTGCCTTGTTGATGCTACTTTCTGTTGGCTGGAATTCAAGGATAGCGATTTTTCGTATGTGAAAAAACTCGCACAATGTATCTCGGACTGATTTACGTTGGGGGTTAAGCATAGCTGTGCAATGTGATAGGTTGTACAAATCGTGAATGTACTAGGTTGTCTCAACTTCAGGCTACATCAACATCGTTACCAGGCTGTCTGCCTTCCGTTTGTGGAACAAGGGAAAAGGGCTTGGGAATGAGGTTACCCAGAGCCTGCCGTTCTGTCGTGCACGCGATAACTCTGGGACGGAAGGTTGGGTTGCACATAGATGCTGCTCAAGAATCAGTCCTAAGCCGTCGTACAACAGGTTACTGAGGCTCAAATGTATGTAAAAAGAAATCGCAATATTATCTTTTATTTTTTGTCTTGTTTACATCTTTAACTTTCTGTAGTTGTTATTATCGTCAATGATCCTATGGCTTATGGCCAAAAGGCAGAAAATAGAAAATGGCCTGGGAAAGAGTCATTGACAAGGTGCAGACACTCGCGATATCRTTRCTAAGAAGCAATGTCAAAACTTCACTTCTTGTTTGCTATCTACCACGCCAACCAGGTATTTTGGTTATGCATCCAATATTTTTACAAAGCAGTACTCAGTTTTTGATTTATAAGCAATAACGATATAAAGAAAGATTCTTTAAATGTTTCAGTTGATAATAGAATGTCAGCTCAGTGTTTTAAACTCAAGTTGTCACTTCGTCAAATCGGCAATATTCTCACTTTTATTTTCATGTCCATTTTGACCGCCATCTATGGTCTTCATCTTATGACTGCCATTGCTTCCCGTGTACGWGGCCGAGTAAATATCAGCTGTATTACTGYCTTTGCAACAACAGGAAAAGCATGGGAACAAGTCATGTGACCATTCCTTAGTTTGTTTAGGACTGACGTACGCCATTGTTATCGCTGCTCCAAGCTCAACAAGTCGAAAAATTGACTGGAAAACCATCCACGGTACAGGCTTCGGTCTGGTGATTTCCGCTGACCGGTACATGTTGTGAATCCCAAAAATGGAGTACAGCTGTAGTGCACAGCAAATAAATCCAAGACCGGCTGTGATATATGTGATTTTAACTAGTTTGGATACATTAGGAGTGTAAGGCCGTATTCTTCGACGTGCGGTCGCGTTGTCCAGCGGTGTTCTTCCGATTGACCGATTTCCCATGTGACATATYCGTGAAGCCGAGCGGTGTACATGCGTGATGATCTTTTGTCCTGTGTGTAAGAACGAAGTGGATAGAACAATGCTAAAGACGATGTAAAACACCTGACATACGAGAGAAAGAGCTTTCCAGTCGGCATAAACAAAGATGATGAACTCGATAAGGAACGCTAACATGAAGTGAACGGTGAYGATAAGAAGAAGAAACTTCCAGTTTTGTAACTTCCGCGGGTAAACTTTAAGTTTGATTACTTGTACAAACAAGAGATGGATGAACGAGAAGGCTGCCGTCAGACAAGGTAAACCCACAGCAAACAAGAGTCTTGACAGTAAAATAGGGCACGTTGGGAGCACGTGACACTGTGGCGATTCGTACGGGTTTATGAAAAGGTAAAGTCCTCGTGATAATCCAAATATAAACAACAGAGAGTTGATGAATATCGATAGAACTCGTCGACGTCGTTTAGCTTCTCTTGTGATAGTCAGAACTGACCAGGCGGCGTACAAAGCCAACAACATAAACAAGCAGCCAATACCAAGCCAGTGAACGCTCCATCCCCAGGACCACACGGACTTCGCATCAGCCCATTCTGGGATTGGTTCCGCTGCGGGACCTTCTGGTTTGTCGCTCGGTTCTGGTTCGGATTTTATTGACGTATTTGATGGAGCTGGTTCGCTCATTTAGACTACAAAAACAAGCATATAGTATAGTTATTAGTAAAAGTAATTGAAAGGCTTTGGTAGTATGATATAAAAACGCATGGATATAACGTTTGAGGTATCAGCAATCACGGCAGTATTCCAAATAAACGCATGTAGCCATAGATATTAATGAACAATAAACAGCAGGGGTCATTTAGGCTGAAAGTGAAAAGTCATCGCTAATTAATACAAATGTAAACATTGACGTCATTAAGATTTGAAAATATCCTTATATGGAAATAGTTACATATAAAGTATCAATGGTCTAAATTTTCCGATGTCAAAAGTGACTCGTTTTTAGAAAGAGAATAACAATATTGAACATTATAATTGTAATACTTTCTTTAATTAATGCTTTTGTGTTAACAACAAAATTACTAGTGCTAATGAGATTAAAGACGTAAGATTTTTATGTATACATTAATGTTATGCTATATCGACCTGTATTTGACCAGCGTTGACGCTGTTAAAATAGCAAATGATCAACATTACATTTATTTAGTAAGTTGGTGACAAGATCTTGACAAGTATTGAACAAATTATAACGCGGCTTCGATAACACTCATTGCCGCCTACAAAATCACAAAACATTAAGATGTCTGATTTTAAACACATTTTATTGTACACCTAATTGAAAAAACCTTGTCTGGTTGAATGGTCGAAGCTAAGACGACCAAAAGGCATCATGTCGAAGGCAAAAAAAATAGTACAAGTATTGTAATAAAAGTGTTTCAGTTCCCAAACAAGTGTTTCAGTTCCCAAACACTGTTTGCACTAAAAAATCATCACCTTCTCTAGAATAAATAGGTGCGACAGTGCGTGTCGAGGAAAATATCTCTCAAACTTCCGAAATACCCAAAATCCTTTTCGGTCTTGGCTTCGACGATACTTTTTGAACCTTACAACGTTTTTTCAATAGGTGTACATGAGTAAACAGTGAAGTCTAATAACAGCGGGTTAATAACGAACGTTTGAGTCGTAGTTTTGATTTTCTCAGTAAGTAAACTATATTCTAGTTCTGCGATTTTCTATGTCCGTCACAAGCCGACAAAGGCTACAATGTTAACCTCCTTGCAACTGAATATTATGAAAAATAAATAAACATAGCTGAAAAAATAACATTGGTTTAATAAGAATTGATTGAAGATAAAAACATTGGTTCAGCTGGAGTGCAAAGTTCAGTTTTCTTCTTGTTTCCCTTTTCTTTTTTTCTTTTTCTTTTTTTCGATTCTTTATTATCATCATTATTACTTTTGTTATTATTATTATTGTTATTATTAGTCTATTATTATTGTTGTTGTTGTTATTGAATTGCTTTTATTTGACATACTTTTCATTTTATTCATTGTTCTTTTAATCTACGTAATTGCGAATTACTCCGCCTAATCCTTTTTCACAGATACTGAAATGCAAGACAATCAAAGACCATTCGCAGTTCTAAATATAGACTCATTGTGATTGGCTGACCAGAACAAGATACTCTAATTCTGATCCGTTGAAGAAATATGACATTGCTGACAATTCTGATTTACCTTGGGAGAATTGATTGGGGTTACTAACATCTTCCCCTCCAATAACAAACTACCAGTTCTCTACAGCATCGACTTTTTACCGCAAAAAAGATTGAAAAATCAAACAAAAATAGTTGATGAAGTGTAATTTTTTAATCACTTGTGAATTGTTTGGTGAAGAGAAACCAAAAATACAATAATAGGAGATTTGTATTTTGCCGTCATTAACCACAACTACCAGAATGCTTTCGCACTTTCTTTTCACATGCAATTAGTTCCAAATGTTTTACTAATCTCCAAAGGGATTAAAAATCTAATAACGATGAAAACACGCACGCGTTGTTGGTCATTAATGTGAACTTCCAAAAAAGCCCAAGAATTTATGAATGACGTTCACTGGTCATTATTCCAGTCCATATGTTGCTCATTAGTGACAATTTAAATCTGTATTATTTCTGAGTTATACACATTGAAGCAGTTATTGAAATACTGTTGAAAGCTGCTCTTTATGACCTTGTCAATGAAAACATTTTGTTACGACGTCTAATGTTACGGCTTATGAACACGAGTTCCCAATAAATTACACAAAATGTACATGCCGTTCGAACCTGAAGGCTTTCACCATGGGACTCACTAGCTCATTCATAACATTTACCCTTCAAGTTTATACGCTTTACGAGCTTCTAGTTGGAAATTAGCCCACCAACCCTCTAAGCAGCGTCTCTCATATGATTTTCAAACAACGTACACAAATCTGACAATATCAAAATAACTCCATATAAAAAACTTTTGAAAATGGTGCAATGTTCGAATACTGATATATGTAACGAGTCTTGGAGGAAATAACACATAGAAATAGTTGAATTCAACCAGAAATGCACTGATATTGTTGAACCTACCGATATGCATGACCGCATCCACGAGGAAGAAGGAAGAGAACTGACCATTCGGGAAAAAAACATTGGTTTTTATACTCATGCAATGCATGACGGTTAGAAAAGAAATGATGCATTCTGGGTCAGGAGATATCAAGCGCTGCAGCCGATTATGTAATAGTCAAAAAACCCATTTCTGTTTCTGATATCTTAATACAGAGCAAAAAGGAGAAGAGCACGAAAGCTTTGAAATATATTTTCCTTCCATTGGGTCACACCGGTACGGAATACATTCGCAATAGATAATGTGTATACGATGGCAGTCATTTTGCTTCTGACAACTATGCTGAGCGGGCAAAGCATTCTGGTAGTTGTAGTAGTCCCGTACACTAGAATGTATTTTGCTGAAATGTTTCGTGTCAATTAATTAAAGTTTCTCTAGTGAAGAATTGGCTTTAAAAATCCTTGATCCCCATTACCTAAATTGCCTCGGGGTTTAGTCCTATCGAGAATGTAAATTATAATCGAAACACGTTTGACACGTAAGAAATCATTGCTGGGTAATTTACATGAAACGATAATGATAATAAAACAGCTTCCTTGGTTGTACATTTTGTAGAATACACTAAAAAACAGGAAATTATCAAGGGAAAAAAAATAAATCAAACTTAAAAAAAAAAAAAAAAAATCAAACATAAACCATGTGTTATTGCCCACACTAGCTAGTACAAAACATGTGTCAACATTAATAAGTTCATGCGACAGAACTGTATCTGATATTATTTTATACAACATAGATAACATAATATCATTAATACATACCGTGAAATTATGATTCCACTGAAAGCATGCCGCCGCCAAGATCAGTTAACATTACTTAACGTTACGAAAAAAACATATAAAAGACGCGGCTATCTCATGCTTTCTAGTGTCAGCCCGCAGGCCTATTGCACTGGAAAAAATCGCGCGCTTTAAAGGTTGTAAATTTGTCCAAAATTCTGTACATTTGTTGTAAATGATTTCCATTAAATTTACGGAATTTTGGACACTTACATCATATTTACATCAAATTTACAACCTTTAAAGCGCGCGATTTTTTCCAGTGATTGAGGCAAAGAAAAAACAAATCCGTTACTCTGTAGAAACTAAGAGGCTGGTGTGAAATTTCAACCTCTGAAAGCTTTGTATTTGGAATAAGAAGAGAAATTATTGCATGCCAAGACTAACATTGTTTCTTTCGCGAAATCGGCTGTCTATATTTATAATAGCAATAACATTTGCATATTTAACCAATGTTATATAGCTGATAGTAGTCTAATATCGTGTTTTTTGCATTAACAAGAAATTCTGTAAATAAAGCAATTTCCATTTGCAAATACTAATAACCATTTAACCAGTAAAAAACATTTGCTACGCGTGCGGAAGTTTTCTTTTTACAAAAAAAGCCCTAGAGTGCTGCAAAACTATAAACACTCCTAACCGCAATATCAACAATGACCATGGAATTAGTTTTAAAGAACTGTTACTCAAGTTCAAATAGTCCTTTAGTATTCCTTCAAGTGTCTTAAAAGTTAAGTGTAGCTTTAACAGAATATTTCGATGTCGGAAGATATTAATTGAAAAATAAACTGACATTAATTAGTATTCTGTATCCGCTTTAGGTTTGGTCTTAAAGAAAAACAATAAAAAACAAGTTATAAATTACGTTTTGTATTCTGTTTTCCTAGTGGATGCATAACAAAAAAAGCTCAGTGATCTAAAGTAAAACTCGATTTTCACCTTGATCACTGTGGAGTTGCAATTGCCAACTTTTGCCAAGGAAAGAAGCATTTGCTACAGTGACAATGGAAGTATCCCGAGACAAAAGGAATCGCAGCGATCTTTCTACTTGTTTCTCTCGTGATTCTTTCCAAATTTCCAAATCATCGGTTTTGTTGTGACATTCTCGAACAATGTAGTGATGGCGTTAGTATTTTTGTTTTATTCTATAAAGGCAGTCAGTCATATCTTTTCAATTCGTCGGCAGAGAATAATTCTAATTTCGAGGAATGCTTTTCCGCTCACACCTTTAATAAAGACGACTTCTCCTTTGGGAATTAACATGTCACAGATCTCAAAAAAATCCTTTAACTGTTAAAAGACCTTAAAATTATTAATCAGGTTTTTACAGCAGTGTACTGCGCTTTTTATCAATTGTAATAACAAGCTAAGTTAGCAACAATGTCTATAAGTATAACTCGCTTACCGTGAGCAAATTGGCTGCGATTTCTCAGTATTTACGTTAGTTATAAATTCATTTACAATAAACCGACATTTTATTTTTAAAGCTGATTTCCCCGTACTCGAGCTAAGTAGTTCTGAGCTTGAGCTGAAGCTTTAGTGAGCTCAATATAAAGGAATACGTTCTGTAAAAGCTTTCAACACAATTCTATGTACTACAACGGATAAAATCCCTGAAATTCTTTTTCGTAGTTTTTCAAATCGATATTGTTGAAATACTTTGAAAGGAAAGTTTGCTGAAGGGCCTTCAGTCTTCCTCGCCATTCACAGCCGACGTCGCAGAAATATTGAGCGATAATTTTACATTTACCTTGTTAGAAGTGTCTGTATTCTGCTTAGAGTTACAAAACAATTTGAGTTTCCTCCGCATACGTCGGGAATTTGTGAAGGAAAAGAGTTTAGGAGGATATTTCAAGAAATATTTCAAGTGCTCCAGCTTTAGTGACGTTCAAACAAACTCTCTTGAGATGTTGAAATGTCAGTCCAAGCGCAGTGAGCTGTGAATCGATATTCGCTTCTCAGTCAACATGGAAGCACCAACCAAGTCAGCGGCTTTTGCGCTCTTTCGATAAAATTGTGATTTTTGGTTCCGGATTAATTATTACAAATTATCAGTACTGATAACGGGAATTGCACAATTTTTTTCAATTATCAGCTTAGAATCGGACTGTTTTTAAACAATGCTAATAAGTATTCATATTGGTTGCTGGCTTGGCCAATTATTTTTCGATAAATTAACCGCGTGAAATGAATAGCCATAATACTTTTCCTATTAGCCAATAACATTTTAGATATTGAACATATATAAATATATGATTTATAATTAGTTGTTTTTGTTGTTTATCTAAGCTTGATTCTTGTAACATGAGTAATTGATAAATATGTCTCGAAGCGGCAGGTCCAAATGACATTTTAGCGCAAAGCCATCTTTGAGTGCTATCGCGACTCATTAAAAATTAATCTTTCTCAGGCATTATGCATAAAAATGACATTGGACATCTGAAATTCCGAAAGCTTCAGTATATATATTAATTTGATACCTAATAATATTATGATTTCAGCAACAAATGCAAGAGGAAAAACGTAACAGGATATTGCAGATATAGCGGAAATTACATGCGCGCACGGGGATATGGATCATTTTATCTTTAAGAGTTAAAAGAAGAAATCTCAACGAATGAGCGTAACCATCAGTGTTGTGTCTGACATATTTACATATTTAGAACACTCTCTTTAATACTGCATCGATCTTTAGCATCCTATAATTGCCCTATTTCATTATGACGTCACAGTATGTTTACATCGGAAAACGATACTCAAAAACAGTGGAAATTTGGACCCATTTATATTGTCTACTAAAGTAGAACTTCAATGAATCGCATTTTTTATATATATCATGTATAAATGATTGTTCATGTACATTTTATTTGATATGCAGTCACTCTGATCCCTTCTAGCGACCATAATCCTTATCGTAAAAACAATAGAATGTTTTGATGTGACGTCATAATGAACTAGGGCAATTGACGGACACTCTCCAACTTTTCAGACTTTTGCTTTTCAATGTGGGATATATAATTATTCAAACTGTGCTCTTTTTGTAAAAAAAATGCGCATGCTCATTAAAGCTGGATTCTAATTTTATTATTATGTTAATTTACTTTATTGTTGGAGTTTTATGTAAACATATCAATAAATGCTTCTTATATTTTCCTTCCTTCCCTTTTTTCTTTTCTCGATATATATTAGTTTATCACTGACCTATTTAGAAACAATATTCAATGTTTCTTAATTATCGATTATTATTGATCAGTAATAAATATTTTTGAGCTTTGGCCTCTATTAAAATAGGACACAACTCGAGAGGAAGCCTGGTGTGAACTAGAGAAAATATTTCTTGTCCGAGATGCTACGGACCGAAATATCTTGAGATATTCTCTCCTGAAAGAATTATTCATGGCACCATATATAATAGGGTTGATTGCACTGCTACACGCGATGCTGATTGGTAGAATGATAGTCACGTGATGCGGCAGGGCCTTGTTATAGCTGCTGGCTAAACCCATGATAAGTACTGTAAGCCATATTACTAGGTAACCTAGCAATACTGCGAACAATGTCCACGTGACCTTGATGTCTTGAGCTCCAAAAGAGGCTTGATTGTTCCTTGCCTGTTCGACGTTTCTTTTATGGTGTCGGATTTTCTTTAGGATTTTAAAGTAGCAGTAGAGCATAATAACATAAGGAACAGCTATTGAAGCAGCATTCAGAACATTGCCAAATATCTTAGTCGCCGTAGTCTTTGTTCTTCGGGAAATAAGACACATTGCGCTTTGCGGAAAGAACTTGGCGTAGTAAAGACTTCCTTTTACGAGCAAAATCGAGACGATTAAACACGCAATCCACACGCATATACTCATCCAAATCGTCTTCTTCTTGGTGAATTTGTGCTTGTATTGATCTGTTTTACACACACAAACAAATCTATTGTATGCCATTAGAGCTATGGTGTACCCTGATGTATTGGTTAAAGTGAGAAACCAAATTGCCTGAAAGTCACAGACTTCTTGACTGAGCTTAAAGTTATTCGTCTTTATGTCTATCAGCCAGTACACTGATAGAGGCAGAATTGTAAGAGGGTAGAGGAGATCGGTAATTGCTAAGGAGAATGCAAGGTAGTTGGTGCTGTTACGCAAAGAACGGTTACGATACACCGAGATGATCACCAATAGATTCCCAGCAATGGATGTCATTCCAATCAAGACAAAGGCACACGTCTCTATGGCGATATTCGTTGTGCTTCGGCTCAAGAAGGAAATCCATTTGGGCGAAAGTATGGTTGTACGATTCATCTAGAAAAAAAAAAGAAAAAATTCTTAATGAAAACAACGCCCTTGTCATCAAGAACTTTAAAAAATGCGTGAACGAAGACTGAATTCCTTGAATCGGATTTTAGACGCGGAAAAAAAAACAACTCTTTAACAGGACAAAGTACTTTCTCTTAAACTCATCGCATAATTGAAATGCATTTCGATCGTAAGATAAAAGCACTCGTAGAAGGTCAAACGTACTCACTTAGAATAATAAAAGATAAGTAATTACATTGTTGTTCTATTTTTGCCATACAGCTGTCTAAATTTTATCCAACGATATATGTAGTAAAGAACTTGTCGTATCTCAATAGCTTCCTTCTATACACCCTTTTAATAAGTCTCAAGGTATTGTGTTCTCCGCACTTGACGTCAAATTTATTCTTTTGAATTCCTTTTGTATTGTAAAAATTT